GTCATCGTAACGATAAATCAATAACCGATCAAAGACCTAACGGTTATCCGGACATACCGACACTGTCGAACACATCCCGACATACAGACGAACATAAACAGCCAATAATGAGCGAAATAAGAAAAGGCATTTTGAATAGCCAATCAGAAAGCGGTTTAGTTCAGCGAACGCCAGGGTCATCTCCCCGACGACCGCCATCTTGAAAAAGAGTCGGCCGAGATGGCCCTGGGGACGAGGTTGTGCAGAACGAGTTAAAAATGGGGCGAAAGGGATTATGGACAGACTATAGCGTTCGGAATACACAACGTAATGTGATTGGCTACCGGCTATATAATTCACAATGTGATTGGCTACGAAGATGTACCGAAGCCAAACTTTCGACATTGTGAAAAAAACCTGACTAACCAAGAAATTAGTAGCATTTTACTACACGTCCCCTGAATAGCATGGTACGTGTAATTACCGCGTTGTACATACTTAGAGAATTGTCCGATACATTATCGTTATTACATAACGGAAAGTGAATCATTTTTCTTTCGTACAATAAGTCGAAATACTAAAAAAAAGAATAAAAGTAATGACTCGCACAACATTTAATTGTATGTTTCAGTTTTACAATAATCCTGTTTCGAATTCTCCAATGCTCTGTGTTAGCCTCATTTGTGCGCAAAATATTCCTTATTGTGAGCGTAAATGTGTGAGATTTTAAATCAAATTTATTGTCTTTCTTCACAAAATTCCATGCGTTTTCTCGAGCTATCAATAAAACAAAAGAATATGTTACTTGGTTTTGAGGCTAACACAGAGCAAACCAGAACTCGAAATTGGAGTATTAGTTTCAAAATTAATTTTCTATGCATACACAACTTTTCGCGCAAAATTTAGAAATACTAATGAATGCGGCCGCCATCTTGATTACGATTCTCGCAATCAATCAGCTTGCGTTTTGTCAAATTTGACAAGTGTTTATGCTGTGTGAGAAKTTGAATAAATCGCGTGTCAAACATCGTTTTCAAACGATATTGCAGTGCGACAAGTAGTGACAAAGTATGTCCGTTTGTTATCGTATTTTGCTGCCTCAGCTTTCTTTTAGGTACCGCGCAATATTTATTAGGAGAGGAGGGAGGAGGGTTGAGAAATGAAATCAAAAAATCAAAAATGTTAATTACTCCCCCCCCCTCTCGCAAAGGAAATACATTACACTCTGACCCCCCTGCCGTGAATTTATTGATTTATCATTCGTGAATAATGAATTTTATCATATAATTATTATATGTAATAGGACTCCATGCTGTCCAATTAAGAAATAATTGGACGAGGAAAATTTCGAGGACTGCCAAAAATTGGACGAGGCCGTGGCCGAGTCCAATTTGGCAGTCAGAGGAATTTTTCGAGTCTAATTATTTCTTAATTGGACAGCATGGAGTCTTATTACCTATTAATTATATAGCCACATATTGATCCCAAATTGGTAAAAGCCAACCAAAAAAATTTATAGCAAAAACCCAATTGAAAACCTGTCCAATTAATTTCTAATTGGACAGGATTCCAAAATTAACGAAAAATCCAGCTTTTACCTATTTGGGATTAATATGTGGCTATATAATTATATGATAAATAGAATATTACATGTTCGCTTGGAGATACGAATTTTATCTTCTTGAGATCTTTTCAACAATGGAAGATATACGTATCTCCGCGTGCCCATGTAAAGGCCCGTTTATACTTGCAATTTTTGCAGCGCGATTGTCGCGCGACAATCGCCACTTTGTTCTCTCGCACCTCAAATCGTACGTGTAAACAGCCCCGCGATTGTCGCGGCGATCAAAAATCGTCGCGAGTTGCGGCTAAATTTCAAGCATGTTCGAAACTAAAGCGATTGCCGCGCGACAATCGCGCTGCAAAAATTGCAAGAAAAAATTCAGTGCAAGTGTAAACGGGCCTTAAAATMCTCTATGTAACAAATCGTGCCACGCTTTTCTTGCGAAATTTTCGAATCTGAGTTATCATGATTGACAGAAGAAAATGAAAAAGTAAGTATAATTTCACATTAACTGACAGTTAATCGGAAACAAGATTCCATATTAAAAGACATTGATAATGAATAAAGGACAGATATATGATAAAGTTTTATTTGTGTATTTTTAATCAAACGGGCTGACAATCTTTTTTGCTCTACACGTTTACGATCGGATCTGGTGAGTCTTCGGCGATAATTTAACGCCAAACCTTTTTAATGGGTTTTTAATTTGTTTTTTAA